TCTTCCTTAGACATTGCTATGGCTAAATTACAAACTGCAATTTCAAAAGAACATAATACACTAAAGAAAGTCTTTTTAGAATCAAAATTAAATCCTAAGATATCTGGTAAACTAAAAAAAGCAGAAATTCTTTTGAAAAAATGGAAAATATATTTCTTTTAACTCAATTTTGGTCGGGTTTCCATTTTTACTGAATTCAAATGGTGATCACCTTGTTGTGGTGATAAATTTATCCTAGATTTGGAAGGATTATTGGGTTTTTCTTTTTTTGAAACTCATATTAATAAGCTGAATGTTACATGTATGTTATTTCAATGAAAGAGAAAGCAATTCAAAATGAAAATCTTGTTTTTATTGAACTTTCATTGGACTGCTTCAATATCTATTTTACATGTTGATGTATATACATGTACAATGTATATGGTAGTTAAACCATCAAAACTTTTCAAGCAAAATGTTATTTGTTGGCAACCAAACACTAACGTTACTTAGTTTTTTTTATCTTCATTTCAAAAACTAACAGTAGTCACTTGACAAAAATAAAAGGTCAACATTGAAACCAAGTGTTTGTATACTTTGAAGGTTTTATGAAGTTTGAGTTTATGTAATAAAGATAATGTTAGTGAAAAAATGTAAATACCATTTCTGTGAGCTTCCTCTCAACAAAAAACATGTGGTTTTAACAATGGATGGTATTTAAATATAGACAATTGCATAACAATAAATGAGAATAAGTTATGTTCAGTTATGGTGACAGGGAAATATTAAGGTGGCAGTTAAAGGTGTGCACAATTTAGGTACTTTTGAGTTATTTGATCTTTATCCATCTACTTTGAACTGTTTAATAGGTTTCCAGTTACAGTAACAAATTTTGCAATTACATGTGCAATATTAATATTTAACCAGTTACATTGTCAAAATGGATGTCAAGCTTATCTACCTAATCATTTATTTTTTATTAATAAAGAATGAAAACATATAGGTTAAATGGAATATTTTCTATACTACTTTGTCTTAATATATTATGAATTCTGGATTTTTGCTTACACACTTACTTACATGCTAAGGATTACAATTATATATTTTTCTCAAATTTGTCAAATGCAGAAAATTTAACAAAGAATAAAGATTTTAAACATTTTAAGACTTTTATGTACATGAAAAATTTGTTTATTCTAATACATTCATAATCATATCATAAATATATTGCCACTGAAAATTGTGTTGTTTTAATTTATTGAAAATTTGGAAATACAAATGTATATAAAAAAGATGTGGTGTGATTGCCAATGAGACAACCCTTCACAAGAGACCAAAGTTAAATGACACAGAAATCAATAACAACTATAGGTCACCATACAGCCTTCAACAATGAGCAAAACCCATACTGCATAGTAATCTATAAAAGGCCTCGAAATGACAAATGTAAACCACTTGTCTTCAAACAAGAAAAGTAATGGCCTAATTAATGCACAAAAAAATGAATAAAAAACAAATATGAATATGTAACACAGCAACAAACGACAACACACTATCCTGACTTATATAGGACAGGCACATACATACATAATGTGTTGTAGTTAAACATGCTAGGTTTTTGTAGCAACATAAGCGATGAAATTTTAAAAAAAAGTGGCAGGACAGGAATTTTGAGTAAAAGAATCCAGGACATGAGTTTCAAGTAAAAAAAACAAAACAGAATGAGCGACTGGGCAAAAAAAAATCCAGGATAAACTTGTAAAAAAAGACAGGACCGAGTTAACTAAACAAGAATGTGTCAGTTTTCGGTAGAGTTGTTTTAAAGAGATGGGAGTTTTTTCTGCTTTTGACCATCCACAAGAACTTGCGGTCATCCAATGTTCAGTACTTCAGTACTTTGATAAATTCTGTCTGCACCTAATATTTTTCAGAAACATATGGAACTTGTTCTGAACTCTGTTCCAATTTGTTTTATTGGACTTCAGATGGATTTTGTTAGTTCAAGAACTAACTTACCCAGCCCACTCATGGCTCCTTCCAGACTTAGGACAGGTGCAAAACTGCCAAAATCATGTATTTTGCCCAAAGTTCATGCATTATTGTCATCTAATTATTTTCTGTGATCTATGATTTTCTCTATAATCTTGCAATTTTTGCTGAATTTCATGCATTTGTTGAAAATTTGGCACATCTGCAAGTGCATGTAAAATATAAAAACCCAGAGACAGACAAACAACAAAAAAAGAATTAGGGACATGCCCCCAGATTGAAAATTTGTGATACTTTTGCGGCATAGCAACTTTAGATAACATATGTATAAGGCCAATTATAACATACAAATAGCCAAATGTATCAAATAGAAATTAAAGGGATATATCAAGTAACAACTTATCAGTTAACATAGGGCTTTTTTCTTCCGATTCTTCATAGTTTATGAAAATTAACTTTAATTAGATTACAGTACAGACTGTAATAGCTGCAGAAAAGTACATGTAGCTCTTCTAAAGCCCCTGTGTTTTTTTTTTTATTGTAGTGCACAACATCTATGGTCCACAAACAAACAAAAATAACATCAGGACCTAATCTAGTCCAAATAGTCATGATAGTTATAACGTCTTTGAAGGCTATTTTAAATTTTTGCTTTGACGCCTTCCTGCGACGTAAGGCGTCAAAGCAAAAAAAATATAATAGCCTTTAAAGACGTCATAGTTATTTGACTAAGACTTATATATATAATGAATCATGATTGAGCTGGGGTTTCACAGCTTCTGCAACAAAAACAGGGAGCCTTAGTTAAAATATTGCAACTTGTGCAGTGTTTTTTGGTCATTTGATGTTTAGGCCTCACCAATTTAATTACTTGTTCGACGGACCCGCCCGCACCAATTTTTTTTAATTATATATAATTCTTTTGGAAAATATGAGCCCTTTAGTACTAAAAAGTGTTTAACAAAAAAAATATTATAACTTATATTGACCCCTTTATAAATGGGATATTAATAACATAGGGGTTGTTCCCAACCTGATTATGACATGGATGGAGAAGTCTTATTGGCACACATACACCATCTAATTATTCAATTATATCTTGGTGAACAGGGAAAAAACACTTCATAAATAAAAGAAATGTCAGAGTACAAGTGATAAATCAAGTTTTAATATTGTAAAAACCTACTATTTTAAGTTTTTAAAAATAAAAATATAATCGCTCGCCTTTACTTTTCAACCTTCGGCTCAAAAATTTTCAGATTAAATATTTTTTTACAAAAATTTTCAAATCGCTCGCTCGCCCCAATTTTTGGAGGTCAAAACTCCGTAAAACAAGAAATCAAATTGGTGTGGCCTTAGTATAACTTAGAAAAAATAATTAAAAAGTTAATACACAGGAATTATGAAATTATAGACAGTAAATTTTAGTAGCCAATCACTGTGCATCTGCATGTGTGTCACCTTGATTTTAATAACATTTCAGATTCCTGTGCAAACAGAGAGATGCACCTAACAGCTGTACTTATTCAGTTTATAGCCTGCCACAAAAGTTGAAGAATTCTGTATTTAAATTTTCATATGTCTGGAGATACTTCGTATTTGAAATGCCAATTAATGGTCATTTCAACTGCAATTTTTTCAGGCGCAATTTTATTATGAATATATATGACAGGTTTTCGCAATAGATAGCAAATCATCAAACTAAAGAAATGATAAATTAAATATCCTCTTGACAGGCATCGCTAATTCAACGGATTTAAGGCAGGCGACACGACCAACAGGATAGAAGCACGTGTTCTGGTTAAAAATTGACATTCTGACACCAATATATCCGCTAATAGAGGTATTTTCTCCATTATTATTTGACTTACTTGATGCATGCGATCATAAATGTCCTAACAATCACTTTTCTTGCCCAAAGAAACATAATTCTACAGTTTATTTCAGGTTTTTCTAGGAAAAGTCACTTTACTCGTTGAACAAACAAGTGCCCTCAACATTCAGAATACAAGCATCCAAAAGACCTCGAGGAGATTTTGATTGGTCGTTTAGTCTGAATAGGCGGGGCCAAGTCCGCGATAGAAAAACTGCTAAGATAAATAAACTTTACTTATAAATGTAATTAGTATGGCAAATCATAGTACCTTAAATAATTATACACCATATCGAAATACTTTTGACAACAATGCATCGTCTGTATTTACCATATAACGAAATCTTTCCTTGCGACGCTCAGTGTGCATTGATGACGTCATGAATAATAATAAGGAACATGGAGTTATCTCCGCTTGGTAAAAAATCCGGGAAAAAATGTCCAAAAATGCCTTAACAGTCCCGCGTAATGTTTATTGCTTATCTTGTTTGATTAAACTCAGTTTAACATAGTTTTAATTGAAAATATACTACAGAATTAGGCCTGGTAAGACCCCTTTTAAGCCCCAAAATTTAGCATTTTTTTAATTACATGTATTAACTTATCGCTACTTATTGAAGTCACTTTTCAGAAGTAGAATACTTCAGTTACTTTAAAATCATTTTTTAATGGGCTGTTTTTTTACAATGCAATGAACATTCAACAGGTACTGTCTTCATTAATTTATGAAAATTTCTGAAATCCTCACAATTTTAGCATTTGTGCTAATTTTAGACGTTTGTTGTCTAAAATGGATATGGCCACTTTTGTTCAGTCTTGATATTTAAATACATGTTGTATTTGATGATATTACATACACATATAAAAATTGAGACTGGGTGCTTCTTACCTAGAAAAGGGGGTCCATTTTTTTTATATTAGAATTAATCTTTATAAGCTTTTTGTCAAATATCAAGCAGATGCTGAGAAAAGTGTTACTTAAATTTTGTGACGCTGACATGAATGACAGATAGTGATCCCTATGTAGCTTCTGGGATAACAGTCGACATAACAACAATGTTAAGTTTCCTCATAGTTTGTAATCTCCAATAACTTAAGGCATGTGAATAAGACATGTAAGATGTAGTTAGCCTATTAATACCACAGACAAACAAAAATATTTCAAATGGAAATAAAATTTATTTTATACCTACATGAATAAAAACAAATATACAGATAAATGGTTCAACTGTGGTGCCGACATTTTCATTAAAATGGTTATATAGTTATTTAGGCTGTTTGCTTATAATTTTACTGTCATATAATATTAGCGAAGTCTGCCATAAAGAGAAACATGTAAAACGGTCTGAATACATGCAAACAGTGATAAGATCTGAAGCCAGGTCGGATGACTATTCAGGTCTTAGTTAGTAAGTATGCATCAATACGAGCTTCAGTCAAAACATCCTGTTGTAATATTGACTGTGTTTCGTCTGTTTTCCTCTTTTCTACTACAGATCAGAACACTTTATCGACTTGTATTGTGCAGGTACAATATAATTCAAAATCAAATCAATAATTTCTGATGATAATTTTGTAGAAAAAGCCATTGTACTTTTTGATACATCATCCCATTCAAGATTCAATTGGTTCCTAAATGGTGGATACTTTCAATTTCAAAGGAAATGCAAGCCTCTGTTGAGTTTCTCCCGGTCAGAAATGTTATCTGTTTCCCAATCTGATGCTAAATATTATGAAAAATTAGTTGATGCTCTTGAATATACTCCTATGAGAACCTGAGTATCTTTAATTTGGCTTTCATCTTCATCTAAAAAGATAAAAAAATAAATCTACAAATGTACTTTAAAAAAATAATATATCCCTTATTAAATTAAAGTTATATGAATTCTCAAATATACAATGTCCATGATATATGGGATAACTATGAAATCTATTTGGTTGGGACCCAATGAAAAAAAATATATAAGATATCTCAACTGGTGGAGTAAAATCATTGCTTTACCACATCTAGTATATCTGATAAAACCTCAATGATTTAATGCAAAAACTTCATGAACTTAACCAATCCATTCATGCAGAAATTGTAGGCCAAAGTGACCTTATCAATAGTAACCATGTTGTACTACCCAAGATATCTATCCACTAGCTATAGTCAAGTATCAATGTAATACCATGTCTATTATCATACAGAGAGACCTAAACACACAAAATTAACAAAGTTGCTCCAGTGGAAAATGTAGGTCAAACTTACCTTTATAAAAGTGAATCATGTTGGACTATCCAAAATCAATACACTGGTTAAGTATCAAAGCTATACAATTTTGTACCCGAGATATTGACCTTAATGCAAAAAACGTAACCATGTCACTCATGTGGAAAATGTAGGTCAAGGTGATCTAATTTTTATTATTTACCCTATTGCTCTACCCAAAACCTATCCACTGGTCAAATATCATAGCTATACTACATGTTTCATGATTAATCTAGTGTCACTTAAGTGAAAATGTAGGTCATAATGACCTAATTATAAATGTTAATTAGGAAATTTTAATATGTCATTATATGAGGTTCTTGATTGAATCCAAGTCCATGATAAAACTAATACAAAGCTATACCCAGTACTGTAAATTCTGAAATTATTGCGTGCATTAATAACTGCGATTTGGTAATGTAATTTTAGACTGAAATGCGAATTTAATTTTTGCAATATTCAGAAAAATCCTGTTAGATTCATATACATGATATAGTAAATTTCAAAATGCGAGTTTAAATTAGTGCGATTATAACCCTGTCGCATTTTTCGCGATAATAAAACATCGCAATAATTTCAGAATTTACAGTAATATTTTTGACATTATCACTTTTTTGGTAATGGTTAAATATTTTACCACTGGTCGTCTCATGATTACCTAACCTCCACCCCTTCCCACTAAATGTATCTCTGTACATTTAACAATCAGTTTAAAATTTTCAAAATGCCTTTCAATTGCCCCTGTAACTAAACTATGTAGGGATGCCACATCCGATCTCTGATTTTGTTAGATGTATTTATGCTTTGTGTCAATCTGATGAGTTAAGCCTCAACTGACACATGACTGATTTCTTATGTTGTACTGATACACTACTGTCCCAGGTTAGATGAGGGTTGGCGCCTTCAAACGAATTTAACCTCAAAGTGGTTGATGTTTGTTGCTGTATACCATATTTGTTTTTCGTTCATTGTTTTGTATATATATTTACTCATTCTAAATAGTTTAACATTTGTGATTTCTTGGCCTTTGATAGCTGACTATGCGGTATGGGCTTTGTTCATTGTTGAAGGCCATACAGTGACCTATAGTTGTTAATTTTATGCCATCTAGTCTCTTGTGGAGCATTGTCACATTTGCAATCAATTCAAATCACTTCTTTTTTTATATCAAAAACATTCTCATACACGTATGTTTTCTTACCATAATCTTTTTTGTATCAACTATGATTCCTCCATCAACTTCTGTTTGTCTAATCTTGGTAAAACACTGCTTGCAGAGACCTACAAAGTATGACTTTGTGAAAAAATGGAATAATGCAGCCAGTCAATGGTACCATACACACTAAAAACATCAATAAAACACGATCATGTCAATGTCCAGATGAACAATGTTTCAGGTGTGAACAATCAATCAATTTATAAACCTGTTGTTCTACGGCATGATGCCAGTGAATAAATTATAATAGACAAATATGTTTTATCAAATTAAAGGTTAAAACTAATTTATTTACAAAAACAGTCAGAGATCTGACATAAACAAGTCAGAATTGTCAAGACTTATGCAAGTCAGATTATGCATTTTTACACAGGAGTAACAGTATCTTTAGACTTTATACAGTCAGAATGTGCCTGACTTATTCAGGTCATATTATGTTCAGTGGATTGTGATGTTTCAGTATTTTAAGATTTGTAGCAAACCTTTTCAAAAAGTTACCATGAATTTTTGTATGATGCTTAACAATACCAAAATATATCTTTTAATGCTGGTTTTCAAGTAAATCCATTGTTTATACAGAATCTTATTTACCATTTATCACAAATACATTCTTACATAAAATGGTTAATTTCATATGATTCCGTTTTTTTAGGGTCTTATTCATATTTCTGGTCATTTACAGTTCGCAATTAGATGGTGGTTGTGCGTGTTGCATATATCACATATCTACATGTATTAGAAATAAATGCCTTTTTCCATATACCTGTATATATGTTCATTGTATCACATAATTATATACCTCGCCACTATGTCATGCATATGTGGCAGTTTAAAAAATGAATCTTTTCATGATACAGTGGATCCATCCAGGGAGGGACCGGTGGTCAAAATAATTATGACGTCTTGAAAGGCCATTTTATTTACTGGCTATGCCTATGGCGCCTGCGTTGCATTAAGGCGTCAAACATGTCAAAGCAAAAAAAAATAAAATAGCCTTTCAAGACGTCATATATATTTGGACTGGGGACCAGTTGGTTAGAACCTTCCCTTTTATTGCTGATTAATGCTTTTGAATAGGGACACATGGATGGACATCCCTTTTTATCCTGCTAAGAACCACCACCCCCTCCCCCCTTTTTTTAAATTGGCTAGATCCACCCCTGTCATAATTAACTAATTTATTTTTGTAGTTTACCTGACCCTTTTGGAATTAGTTGTCATTACAATAGTCAGTATTCCTATGATAGGGTTAGTGTCGTTCCTCCAACACTATCAGATTTTCGCCTTTTGGAGTTTTGCCTTAATGTTAGCAGAACGATCTTTGAATCCACACTTTGTTGAATAGTCCCGCCAATATATCCCAAAAAAGTCTCTGTGCCATCGGCATGTACATATCGACAATTTTATAGCAGCACGATCAACAGAAAACAATGTCACTTATGTGTATAAAAATTAAAATAGTCCTCCTGGAACATGTGGAAAGTTTGATAAACAGGCCTCACTGCCCTCAGTGCTGTGGATAAATTCAAGGTGGTGTCCTTTGTACAAAGATAAACCTTGTCTAACAGATGAGTTGTATAGTGCTTTGATTGTCCACAATAACCTCCAAGATTAGAAAAATCGGACCGAACAGAGACGTCAACTTTTCATCACTGGAAGCTGCCATATTGCCAGTGAAAGATTTCCACTAAGGGAGACAATTTAACCACAAAAATAACATTGAGGCTACCTTTGGGTAATTTAATGTTAAATTTTGCAAATTACAAGAAAAAAAACATACATTTAGCCAGAAATATTTTTCAACATAAAATAAATCAATTTTAGTCCAATTACCACCTACTTTAAGCAATTTTAGTTAAATAACAAGAAACAAAAACTATTAGAATTATTGCATTTTATGGTTATTTTAAGAGTATTTTTGATCAACTTTCCATTATTTGCCAAGCTAAAAATTTTTACCTGTCTTAGAACTGATATACACCTTTCAAAATATTATAAAAGTTAAGAATAAAAAATATGATCTTGAGAGAAAACTGCTATTGAGTACATGTAGTATATACAAGTTGTTTATAACATCTGTTGCGCGAACTTTCTTGCAACCTGCCAAAAGTTCCGAAATTCTCAAAAAAGCTATTTTTTTGGTTATTAACTAATGTTCCTTAAAAATATGATAAAAAAATATTTCATTTAAGAGCTATATCAATTATCCAGACCCTTTAAAAGTGCCTAAATAAGGTGTATTTTTTAGCCGTTTTTAAAAATAATTCACTAATATGCAAATTAGGCGGTTTAATGGAAAATAGCGCAAATTAACAAAAAAATTTTTTTTTATCTGAACTCCTGAATACCTAAAGTTTTTGGAAATATATATAATTTTGGCAAGTTGTAACTACCAATTTGGACGAAATTTGGGATTTTGCATGGTTTTAGGGCAGACTGGCTCTTAACATTATAATCAAATACATTAAAACTGTTACAATCATTAGCCAATTCTTTTGGATTTGAACATTTCACTAATGAGAAATTATTGTCCTTCACACGATTTGCTCTGACATGCCTTTCAACATTCTATACTATTCACAATTTGAATAGTTTTAACGCAATAACACTCATAAATAATGAAAGTGTAAAATATTATCCTGATTTGCAATTGTCCTTTGTGATACATTAATTGAAAATTTAACAAAACAAGAGTATTTTACCGCATCGATTTAAAAAAATGTTCTTTTGTAGAAAAGTGCTTCTTGATTTAGGTAAGTTTTTACATAGCTTGTATTGTACATATGCTTTCCAGCACAGTACATGTATATATTACTTTTTAAAAAAATTCTAATTGATAATGGGTATTCTTTGTAGGTCCATTTTATTAATATAGATCCGCACGTTTTCATGTATTTAAACATTCATTGATTTTCAAATTCAAGATATATCGGCGTCTTATTAATACTAACATTACTATGTGTGACCAGGAATGTAAATGTATGAAATGAAATGTCGACTAGTTAATATACTATAATTCATTTTTAGATCTTCTGATTGACTGATTTTTTTCCCTTTCGATTCGGATTGACATCTAACATGTGGTGCATACTTTTAATAACCTGCTGGAGAGTTGTTCCGCTATGCGAGATATTCAGTGTGCACCACATCATTGATGCTTTTTCTTCATAGACAGAAAAAAAATATTGCACTCATTCCTTATTTTATCATGATTTTTGTGAGCCAAATTTTGTTTATTCATGTTATAGAGAATATATTTTATTAGTATCATACCATACGTGTATGATCAACACGTGACTTTGAATAATGCAGTACATTTTCTTCTAAATATTCAAGGAAGGACTAGTAATCCCGAACACCATGCGACGATTAATCCTATTATTCCCCTGAGCATGAACTTTTGATGTTATTGATTTGTTTGTAAGTTTTTGTCCGAATATAATAATGTCCCAGAGAATATCTCTGACAAATTAAACTTAGGATGACCTTTTATATCTAACATAAAACGTCTGTTAATTTTCATTTAATTGCAAGGAAGGACGAGTAACCTTCAAAATTAACAACTATCAATGAATAACTCTATTTGTCACCGCTGAATACTTTTCGAGCTTCTTGATTTGTACACGAGTTATAAAAAATGAGGTCACAAAGGTATATAATCAAAATATCAACGATCAGAGAGTAAGTCATCGAGTGATGAATAAACAAAGCCTGGAAATTCCTCTTCTTACATGTCTTATGCCAAGAATATTTCTCAAAAACGGTCCTTTTCAGCTCCATCGCTATTTTACAGAAAAGTCTACCTTTGTTGTATAAAAGAAATGCTCAAAATTAACTTATTAAAGGTTTTTAAATCTGTTACTACAGTCAGGTATTTTGTAATGGTTCAAAAGACCTGTACACTGTTAGTTCGAAATGATGAATTAATTTTTGCATCTGAGTAACTATACATATCACAAATTATCAACCCTAAAAAAGTTATTTGCACTTTGGGCTTCCCATCTGGGAAATAACCGTTATGGGTTGACAATTATGGAAATTTACCTTTTCTACGGGTCATAATTGTATATTATACATTTGTTGAAAGTTTCATTTGTTACAAGTTAACATTTTGCGTGTGTTCCTTTTAATGATAAAGTTTCGTTAATTTTAAAGAGCTTATGAACGAGAAACTCAATATATTCAAAATGTTTAAGTAGATAAAATTTGTTCGTACTTGACTTAATTTTAAAATCCTTTAAAAAAATGTCAGACACGAGCTTCTTGATGCATGCACAAGCAAGTCTATACATAGTTTATATTTTCCAAATACTGTCTTGTTTAATGTCCTTTATGATTGCTGTTTTTGTTGTTGTTGAAACGATTATCATATTTCATTGCACATGTTGCAGAATTGTTCTTAAATTTGACTAAATATAAAATATTGATTAAATGTGATGATTATAGATCATATTGTCATTTTTTTTCTAAACTGATACTCTGTCAATCTTTTACATATGTGTAGGCATATCATTATTTTGAACAATTACCACCACAGTCATATGATAAAGTCTATTATGTTAAACACAAAGTAAAAACACTGTAAATGTTTAATTGACATCTCTAGTGCTACTCATTAGAAATAGCCATACATGTATTTTTCTAACATGAATTGGATGATACAGGTGTATTTTAAAATATGAGTTAAACATATTTACAATGCATGATCAGAAATAAATATACATTATAATATCTCGCAACCATGTCTCAAAATGGTTTTTTTATTTACTAAAGGAACGTATTCAGACTCTAGAAAAAATAGTAAAGCAGTCGTTTAAGTTCGATCTCTACAGTATAAGTTATTATTTCGTCAATAAATAAGTGAAAGAACACATTTGATTGCAACTTATCTTTATTCGTTAAAGTTAAACGAAGGACGATAACCACAGCCAAGTCTCTCTTAATTTATGCTAAGAATAAGAACAAAACAGTCGTTTAGACAAAAACAACAACAACCTGTATGATATGAAACGCACCATCTTTTGTCGCACAAAAGATTCTGTCGTGAACATTTATTATTCCACAGAAATGACGTCAGATAAAAACAAACATACTACTTCAGCGACAGAAAATTGAGACAAAATATAATTCATTACAATCTTTACTCAAATTGACTGTAAACATATTTAAAAGAACACTTTAAAACAAATATAACTTTCAACTCAATTTAATTAGTGTCGGTTAAAATCGGTATTCAATGAAAGTCCCGTTTGATTATATAGATCCTCACGTATTCCAGGTATTTATACTGTACATAATCAGCTCAAAAATATTGGCTGTAAGTGTTCTTGATGAAGGTTAAATTGGCCTTTTATAAATCATCACAAATCTATTTTGCGTGTAAAATGTAAATATGTAAATTAATAATCTCACATGGAAAATAACTCGTTTATTTTACCGCACGATACTTTCTCTATCAATTAACGGACCCTCACATAAGACTTCAGATCGGAGATTTTAGCATTGATTTCAAAAAGTTCATTGACTAACTAATTAATTGATAAAGTGTATCATAAACCAACAATGGATAGTCGATTTTTATTGTAAGCAACTTCTTGCTTCACAATAGTTACAAAAGCTGAAATAATCTTCTCTAAGTATCAAATGTGTGCAACATCTGCAATACATATATATTTAGAGGACAAACAGTAGAGTGGTTGCAACAATTCACAAAATCTGTCCAACTACCACTGAAATATGTTTTGATATTATGTTTCTTTATAATAAGAGGTATAACTTATTGACGTTTATTTTAATTTAAAAAAAGAAATAAGACCAATTGTCACCGAACGTCGCTATGTGATGCGCACTTTATCGTTGTTAAAAGTTGTCAACATTTGACACATGTTGTTGATAAAGTACTGCTAATTTCAAAAACTTCACGAAAATTATATTAATGCATTCAAATGTGTTATACTATCAAATGTGTTCGTACATGAACTTCCACTCAAGTTGATAGTAAAAATCGCCTTGTCAACATTCTCATTTATTCACAATTTAAACGGTCCTACATAATGCAAGTCATTTGATCAATTCATTTTAAAGTGTTTTGCAATCATGTGTTCATTTCACATTGTATCTCAATTATGAGACATTTAACTAAAAAACCTGAATACTTTAAACTATTCATTAGATATATTGTTTGTCAGGGACGTACACATTTGCCCATTAATCCAGGTAAGTTACTAACATAATTGACAGATATTCATGTTATATATATAGATTGCCTAACAATGTAATTTTAGCACACTATTTAGTATGTTAATATGAGAATGTTTAAAATATTTACAAAATGATGAAAATAAACGCAATCTTTCGCTAGACTAACTAGCTTTATCAAGCGTGCATCTATAATTTTATTTGTGTAATTGAATTAATCTCTGCACTGATTAATCCACACTCCCATAGATTTGTATTTCATGTGCTGCTATTTATAGGCACTTATATATATATAAAGTCTCTGAATGATTGTATAATAAAAACTATAACACAATTTTCCATACGTTTCGGCCATTACGGCCTTCTTCATTGGAATAAATTACAACATTGAAAAAACAATTACATCGATTGGATGCATTACGTAATAATAACTACTATGACGTTTATTTGCCGCGTATTTTTTTTTTTTTTTTTTTTTTTTTTATAAATATTTTCACTATCTTTCATACATTGTGTTGAGTCCATCAGGCTCTAC